CCCGCGCCCTCAGCCCCGGCCCCACTCACGGACCGGACTCACCGCTGCGGGGGCGGCGGCGGAACCGGAAGCGGAGGGGCCGGGCGGACTCGCGAGCAGCGAGATCAAACCCTCCCCCGCCCAGAGCGGCCGCGCCCCACCACCATAGAGCGGCGGCAGCGGGCGGAGCGCCGGCGGCCCGCGCTTCCGGAGGGCGGGGCGGAGCGGCGTTCGGCGGGGCGGGGCCGAGGCTCCCCCCTGCGGCGGGGCGGTGTGGCGGTGTCATGGCGGAGGTGGGCGCTCACCTCACGGCCGCCCCGGCCGGCGAGGAGCGGCCGTCCGTGTTCGAGGCGGTGGCCCAGGACAGCCTGATGGCCGCCGTGAAACCCGCCCTGCAGCACCTGGTCAAGGTGAGGGCGAGGCGGGCCGCGGGTGAAGGGAGAGGAGGGGAGCCGGCGTGTAACTCCGGCCGCACTCGCAGGCAGCGGGACAGTTGTGAGCCACCTGGCTTGTGTGGAGGATTAGAGGCGTCGTTTATAGCTGCTGTGATTTATAATTTAGAACTTTATCCGCTTTCAGGTCCTTCCCTGTGAGGGTGGGGAGGCCCTGGCACAGGCTGTGGCTGCCCCATCCCTGAGAGTGTTCAAATCCAGGCTGGACAGGGCTTGGAGCAGCCTGGGATAGTGCAAGGTGGAATGATCTTTACAACATGATCTTTAATGCTCCTTCCAACCCAAACCGCTCTGATTCCTCCTGTTTTGTGTCCCTTTTGCAACAGGTGCTTGCTGAGTCCAATCCTGCCCGGTATGGTTTCCTCTGGCAGTGGTTTGATGAGATTTACGTCCTTCTGGATTTGCTGCTCCAGCAGCACTACCTGGGCAGGTGCAGCGCCTCCTTCTCTGAGAACTTCTATAGCATGAAGAGGATCCCCATGGGAGATGGCAGACAGCAACCTCTGGCCACAGCTGGCCTGCCAAAGAGGCAGCACTGGAAGTCTCTGCTCCTGCTGGTTCTTGTTCCTTACCTGAAAGGAAAGCTGGAGAAACTGGTGTCCAGCCTGAGGGAAGAGGATGAGTACTCCATCCACCCTCCCTCATCATCCTGGAAGCGCTTCTACAGAGCCTTTCTAGCTGCCTACCCCTATGTAAACATGACCTGGGAGGGCTGGTTTCTTATCCAGCAGATGTGCTACATCCTGGGCAAGGCTGAGCATCATTCCCCCATGCTGAAGCTGGCTGGTGTCCGCCTGGTCAGGCTGACTGCAGAGGATATCCAGGCCCTGGAGAAGAAATGGGCTGAAAGCACCTCAAGTCAAACACACAGGTATGGCAGAGCCTGGCTCAGGTGTTGCCCACCAGGCTCTGTAAATTTAGAGGTGATGCTGCAAGTAAAAGTGCCCTGTTCTCTAAAAATTCGAGATGAAAGTTCACACTGACAAAATGTGCTCCAAAAGGGTGTATGTATTGTAAGTGAAAATAACAAACCAGTAGCAGGGATTAGCTTGAAACGATTTTGTGGTAATAAAATTTCAGAGTTTGGGGGTGTTTTTGGGCATGCAAGCCTTCATTCTCTTCAGTCTTCTGCACTTTTCCAGCAAAGGAGGGGCAGCAGCTGCAGCAATGTTGCTGAAAGGATTGAAACTTATTTATTTGATTTTCCTAAGCAGCAGCTAGTCATGGGCACACTGAATACCCTGTGAAATGGTGATCCAGGAGTGAAACACTCTGTGGTCCAGGATCCTTTAATCCAAATTCTTCCGATTTAGACTTCTGAAAAAAACCAGGATTTGGATCTTCCTTAAAATAAAAAAAGAATCTGAAACATCCTAGTAAGTGCAAACACGGGACATACTGACCAACTAACTTAGCATTAAGGAGCTGTGTGAAGCAGCCACTCCCCAGGTGCTCTTTCCCATGGTTTCCAGGTGGATAAACGTGCAGTAGTAACCATCTCTCCCTGCTTCTCTCTGCTGCAGCTTTACCTCTCGAGTGCAGTCGGCCCTGAGGAGAGCTCTGGGTGGCATCGCCTTCTCGCTGTCCACCGGCCTGTCCGTCAGCGTGTTCTTCCTCCAGTTCCTGGACTGGTGGTACTCCTCAGAAAACCAGGAGACCATCAAGTCCCTGACAGCCCTCCCCACGCCCCCACCCCCTGTGCACCTGGAGCACGAGCCCAGCTCAGCTCTCCTGCCCAGCCTGAAGACCGTGTGCCCTCTGTGCCGCAAGGTCCGCGTCAACGCCACGGCGCTGGCCACCTCCGGCTTCGTGTTCTGCTACCGCTGCGCCCACGCCTATGTGAAGGCTCACCAGCGCTGCCCAGTCACGGGCTATGCCACAGAGCTGCAGCACCTGGTCAAACTCTACTCCCCTGAGAGCTGAAAGGGCTGCCAGGAGCCTCCAGCAGCCCTTTGTACATCCCATGGAAGGCTTCAGGCTGCCGCAGCTCCTCGGTGAGCTCTGCAGCGCCCTTGAACTCGGTGGTTCGTCAGCTTTGCTGCCTTTGCACGTTCTGGCAGTGCTCTGCCCTTTGTTGATAAGCTGTTCAAACATCCTGGCAGTTGCAGAGGTATCACACAGCCCCAGCCTGTTAGCCAGCACAGAAATGCCTTAAAAGACCAGCTGAAAGAGAGGAAACATTGATTTGGGTAAGAGGAATGCAGATGTGAGGATCAAAGAGCAGCACTGGTGCTGTTTGAGGGCATGAGCCAGCAAATTAAAAAGGTAGGGAAATTCTCTAGGCAGGTTTTTCTTCCCTGGGCAGCTTCCCATTCCCTTGTGCTGCCCAGGGTGAGCTCTGGCTTTGTCAGAGATAGAGGCTTAAACCTGTGCTCTTCACCTTGGAATTGAGAACATCACCCTCCTAATTCTTATCAACGGTTCTAAATTAAGACTTTTGACTCTTTAAAGGAACAAGATAGACAAGAGGAATGTGATGTTTTCTGCACAAGAGAGAAAATGACAAACCAGATTAAAAGAAACTCCCAACTGATGAGAGTGGTTTATTGTCAAATAAGTCTTTGCATTCATTATTATCTGCTTTTATAAAGCAAAATTCTTTCTTGATTGAGAACCTATTTAATTCTTTTCTGGTTATTGGAAAAACAGTTTGCTCCTCTGGGGGCTCTATTTACATAAGAGAGACAAGACTAAAGCTGCTTTCATCTTTCCATGTGATGGTAGTGGATGTAAGATTAGCATTTTGTAGGCTGAGGATCTTTCATGTCTGATCATTACAATGCAATTATTCCAGTCCCAGCCATGTAGCACATTCATATCAGAACAAAACATCCTTCCACTGAACAGAGGAGGAAAGAAAAGCTGTGTGACATGGCTGGCTCTTGCTTGACACCTGATTTTTCAGGATGGAAGGTTGTTTTCCTGACTCTAGGGAGCAGCAGTGCTCCAGATATCACAGTGACAGTGCTTAGAGAATACAAGAGCAAAGTTTCTGCACAAAGTCCAGACCCCACTCTGGTCTTTCCAGATTCTTCTAACATTTAATCCACTGAACCAGGCATCTCATTTTCCCTCCACTTTAGCTCTGCTTCAGAAGATAAAAATCTCCAATATCCTCCTTCACTTGTAAGCAAGAGAGTATAGGCTGAGGATCTTTCATGTCTGATCATTACAATGCAATTATTCCAGTCCCAGCCATGTAGCACATTCATATCAGAACAAAACATCCTTCCACTGAACAGAGGAGGAAAGAAAAGCTGTGTGACATGGCTGGCTCTTGCTTGACACCTGATTTTTCAGGATGGAAGGTTGTTTTCCTGACTCTAGGGAGCAGCAGTGCTCCAGATATCACAGTGACAGTGCTTAGAGAATACAAGAGCAAAGTTTCTGCACAAAGTCCAGACCCCACTCTGGTCTTTCCAGATTCTTCTAACATTTAATCCACTGAACCAGGCATCTCATTTTCCCTCCACTTTAGCTCTGCTTCAGAAGATAAAAATCTCCAATATCCTCCTTCACTTGTAAGCAAAAGAGGTTATTGAATAATGTGGGAAAATGCAGTAATTTGAATCTTCCCCAAACACCTAATAAATGAGATTTGTTCCTGATGCTTTATTATCTCTGTACACCTCCCTGACCCTTCTACCTGTGCCACTATGGAATCATAATAAAAACTGTCTCATTTCTCTCTTCTCCAGTTGCAATGGGGTCCATGAAGATACTTCTTTTCCTTTAGAGAGCCAGTAAGAACACACACATCTTACTGGAAGACAAATCACACCAAAGTGTGAGGTTTTCTGAGGTTCCCAATCACTTTTTTTGTTAATGTCCTGGTGACTCCAGTGCAACAGCTGATTGAAATAAGCATTTGACTGATGATTGCTTTTCAGGATAGGTTTATTTTCCTTTAATCCTTCCTATACCTTCCAAGTTACTTATCTGCTGCTCAGGGAGAAGCTGGGCAGGCGTGGAACTCTGACCCCCAGCACTGCAGGGCTCTTTGGGAGGTTCATCCTCCCTCTAATGCAGGATTCACTAACACACAACAGTTACCACACTGCTCCAGGGCCTCTCCAGCTCCTTCTCCCAGGATTAACGCCTGTTCCTCTCCCCAGAATGCCCAGCAGATGCCCACCTGCCAGGCCCTGGCTGCTTTCCACTCCTGCACAACCCCCTGTCCCTGCCAAACTCGGGTTTGGCTAACTCCAGGACCTGCACAGAACCACCCACACTGAAGCCTCCCAGTTCTGAGCAGCTGTAATTACTCTTTTACACAATAAATTATCCTGTAAAGCTTAGCTGAGTGACAAGCATCAAACCCACCTTGGTGACAGGTTCAGCAGTTACCTGGCAGATTTTTGTGTGTTCCTGGAGATGGCTGCAGGATGTCAACTTGGATTTGACTCCTTTGAAACCTCCTGTCCTTAGCAGCCCATTAATACTCATTTGTCATGTTTCTTGCTCTAAAACTAAGCTACAAAACCAGTCTGGATCACAGAAAAATTCCAATTTATCTGCTTTTTAACTGTATTCTTAAAACCACAATGGGCTAAAGATTGACAAGAGCAGTTTTTCCAGGGAGCACCAACTTTATTAAACCAACCTTTGGACTTAGATACTAATTTGTGATTTCTACAGAATCATGTACCACATACACCCTCAGGATGCTTTGGTGTTGCTCAATACAATTTCATCAACATTAACAGCAGCTTTGGAGTTGTTCAGTATCCACTGCAAGGACTTGACTTTGCAAGTCTTTTAAAAATTCTTTAGTGAAGCTAAGGCACATTCACAGCTCATCTAGGCAGTGTTGAAAAATCAGAGCATGAAGCAACTAAGTTTTTGCTATTTCCTCAACAGAAACAAAGTGACTTCTCCTGTTAAGGGAAAACCACTGAAATATTCTCCTCGGTATATTCCTCACAGATGCTTCCTTCTCCACAGGGATAGAGAAATCAATACAAAGATGTCATCAGAATCTGGAAAAGAACAAAAGAAAAGTGAATTAGAGAATAGCCCCATCTTTTTTCCTGGGCCCTTCTTTCAACCCCAAAGTGGTTGCACATCATACTCCTGGCTCCCTGCTGGCAAGCACTAAATGAGAATACAGCTGAATGAACTGCTAATGAGCTTCTACAGGACAGACAACTCAAGAGTCTGCTTTGCACTTACAGAGGAGACACAGTGGCAGAGTATCTGGAGTTTGTGATCCATGGCACACACAGGAGATAAACCCACATCCCCCCCCCCATCACTGCAGGCTCACACAATGCTGCAGCAACGAGTATTTGGGTTCCTTTCCAAATCAAGGCTTTTTCTGCCGTTAAATTGCTAACAATTCTTAGTATTTTTTTTTTTAGGGTGCATCCAAGTTTCAAGAACAGCAAAGCTGTTCCCTGCAGACGAGCTTAGCCTGAAGTAGCTCAGAGAGAAGATTAAGTGATCATGCCCTGGTCAGAGCCGAGACACGGAGTCTCGGCAATACCAGTTCAGACTATACTTCGCTCATCATTGCTTCTGGGCAAATCTATTTGCCTTCAACAAGGAGCTCGCTCCCAAGCCGGGGCCTGGGAGGTTTCCTCCTCCCTAGGAGGATGAAGCACGTGGAGCAGGGAGCACAGGGACGGAGGTGACACCTCTTTACAGCCGGGCAGAAGCTGGGTCACAGACTGGCATTCCAAGGTCAGCAGAGCAGTACCAGACAAACCCAAGAGGGAAAAAGCGTGTCATACCTATAAACGCTGCTGCAGTCAGCGTCTCTCCAAGGCTCCAGAGGCCTGTTTGCATCCCTCCCTTCCCTCATGCCACACGTTTACACTCTCTCCCCATCTCCTTCCCTGTATTCTCCTCACCAGGTCCCTGCAGCTCTTCAGTCCCAGTTCCTCTGCCGTGCCCGCCCTACCCCATCCAACATCCCCGGAGCTCCCAGATATCCCCCCCGCACCTCAGTAAACCCTACACCTCGGCCGGCTGCACGCTCCTCAACCAGCCCCCAGAGCCGCTTCCGCATCCCCTCACCCTCCCTGTCCTCATCCCCGCACACTCCGAGTCCTCAGCTGCCCCACCGCGGCCCCGGACCCCCCGGTATCCCGTGTCCCCGGTCCCGCACCCCTCACGCCGCTCCGCTCCCGCAGGCCCGGCAGCACCGGGACAGAGCCGCCCTCTTCGCCCCACCCCTCCGCTGATAATAACCAATCACAGCGCGCGATTCTACCGCTGGCAGCCAATAGGAAGGCGCGTTAGAGGAGCTGGGGGCGGTGCGAGCGTTTCCCGCCTTGAGGAAGCCTGAGGGGGGCTGAGGGAGCGGGTGGTCCCTGGTAGTGTAAAACTCGTGTTCCGCCCATGTTTAGCTAAAAGAAATGCCAATAAATGGCTTTTACAGAAGTTATTTCCCCACTCAACTTCAGAAACAGTCAGTTAGTAGAACGCGGTTGCTCCAAGGAGAAGCTTTAGTGGGAGAAGGGAAACTTTGCCCTTCAATACCAATGGCATTTTGTCTTGGTGTCAGAGATCCTGGTTAGGTAAACCTGCACAGAGGTAAAGTACTTTCGAAAGCCAGGTTCAAAAGCCCTAAAAATGGGTATACAAAATTGAAGGATGGTAGAAAACAAACCATATTTCCCACCACAGAATGTGGTTCCCTCGATTTGGAACAATGGCCTGATATCCCCCAGCTGTGATTATAAAGCACCAGCGATTTAACTGAAAGTTATTACATTCATTCAATACAGCTGGAATCGCCCTCCAAATAAATTTGCCTTCAGGTTATCAAACCTATTAGCTTAAAATTTTCACTCTTTTCCAAATTCAGGACAGTAGAGATACTTTCATTTATTTTCTTTTTTTTTTTCCTTAACATGCAAGAGAAAACTATCCTCGTGGTTCCTTTTTTTTCCCAAAATTTCAACATTTCATCATGCTATGCCTATTGTGAACATCACTAATATTTAGTATTATCAGAAATATTTTAATGTGTTTGAATTAATATTTAAATTATTATTGAGTAAGATTATATTTATTACATGTTTAGGGACTTTCCCCCAGGAACTGAACCAACAGTCTGTGATTTTTGTGTTGTCCACAGCCTGCATTAAGAACCTGTGCTTGAATGAAAATATTTATGTAATGAAGTTTAATGTGATGATGACTGGTGGATTGCTTCTCATCCTGCTTTTTTCATAAATGGGATATTTTCAACATTCCCTGTGTCTTGGTGTGACACCTTTGTGACTCTGCTACATTTGGGAGCACTGGATGGTTTTCAAGGAGTGAGAATTCAACCTGTGTTACCAATTACTCCACTTTTCCAGGTGTGATGCAAGACTCGCCTTAAATTCTTCTTTTGCTTAATAAAATCAGAACAGGAATTCCACATGGAACGAAGTAGTGAATTTATTAAGAGTTCACCCACCATTCTCACACTTGGGCACACAGCTTCCAATAAATGAACAAAAAGGCACACAGCTAAAATCCTATTTTCTGACTACAGAATAGAAGGCACTTAACCCTCCCTGTTCCACCATTGCAGGGAATTCCAGAAGTACCAGGAGCTGGAAGTGGACGTAGAACCAATTTTATCTTTGTTGAGTTTCCTTCCAACAGCCTCCTGACACGTCTCCAACAAAACCATGGAAGTGGACGTAGAACCAATTTTATCTTTGTTGAGTTTCCTTCCAACACAACCGACTCTTTTAGAGCTGAAGCGTTCATCATTATCAGCTGAATGGGGGCAGAGAAAGGATTTACACCATCTGGGAATTACTCAGATGGACACGTCCCAAATTTCCCAGGCAAATTCCCTCCTTTTCCTCATACAGCTTATGATCCTCCAAAGCTGTCCCCAGACTGTTCAGTGCCTTGACAATGGCACTAGATTCTCCTCATGGCTCTCACTTTTCCATATTTCTCCATTTTTTCCCCCCACGCTCAGCCTTTTTTTGGTGCTTTTCATTCCCTCACGCCTGAGAGAGAGGTTTGATCAGCTCGTAATCCATGCACTTGGTGAGGCAATCACGTGCCACACTAATGATGTGCTGCTTCTTGGGGTGATCCTCCTGCTTCCCGACGTACGTCAGGATCTCCAGGAGCTCTGACTCCACCAGCTTCTTCGCCAGCTCTTTGTCAGAGCTGATTAAGTTGAAAGCAATGACCAGTCCTCGGTGCTGGACCTCCATGTTGTCATGCAAGCAGAGCCTCTGCAGGATTTCAAGCCACTGGGTGGTCTGCAAGAGGAAGAGAGATCATTAGTACTGGTCTGAAGAATATCTCAACCAAGAGCATGACCTTGGCTTCCTTCAGCAGAAGGAAGAGCAGTACTCATGTCACTTATCGTTATTTAATTTTTTAACTAAGGAAACCTGACTCCAAACATTTTAACCCAATTTTTCTTACACCTTAGTCAGAATCTTCCACAGCACTGGGACAACATGGAACATCTTTCATATTCAGGCTGCTGCATAATCTCTGTGAGAAGAATCTGACCAGAGTCTTTACACAGCTGAGATGACCAGGACGGTCCCCCACCCCAACCTTCTTGAGCTTCTCTGTTGGCTTGATTAATCATGTTATCTTAATGAGCTCCAGAGTCCAATCACATGTGCAGCAAGATAGGGTTCAGGAGTTCTTAACCACAGCTCTTCAGACACTCAGCCATGCAGGCTCTGGGTTCTCAGAGCCTACAGATCTGTGCAGGGAAGGGACATCCTTTGGGATCTCTAAAGCTCAGTAGGTTATCAATCAAGCTCTTCTCATTTCTGGTGTAACAAGGTTTGGATTTCAGGTTATTTATCAAAGCATGCACACGCAGGTCGCAGCTTCTCTAGGTTCCTCAGTATTGAACTAGTAAACTGCATACTCCTTTGGAGAGACTCCTTCACATCTGAGCCAGGACCCTTGCAGGGTACATCCCACACACTGCCCACAGTCAAGAGTTATGGCCTCACCACTTGAGTCATCTTCAAGCACAGCTTCTTTTGTGCTGCTGTAAGCATGGCCAGGGCTCCTGCTGCTGCCACCTGAACCTTCTCATCATCCTCACCACACAGCAACACCACCAGCTTCAGCCGGTCATTGCCATCAGCCACAAACCGCTCCTGAACCTAAAAAAACAGAGATATCCAGAGGCAGCACAGTTAGGGACAGCTCCTCACAGGACCAGGTGCATGCAGTGAGGTTGGACATGCCCAGGGGGGATTTTACCTCCTTGTTGACCACCAAGTTGCACATGCACTCAGTGGCTGCCTGTCGAAGTTGGTCGTGGTTCTCAAACATGTAATTTTCAATATCTGGCAGGGCCTTCTCTTTGACTATCTTCAACCTGTGGTAAAGAGCAGTAAAAACCCCACACTATAGGTCAAGCAGTAATCAACTTATCAAATATTAACTGCAGGGAAGGCCTTGAAACAAATCAGTGTCTGGAGCTAATGATGTGGTTCATTCCCTGTTTAATGCAGACGAAGTTCATGTCTTTGCTGTTTCTAGAGGAAAATATGCCACTCTCCTTTTCCTATCTCATCAGTCTTTTAGCTCTGAGACCTTTGTAGCTCTGCCAAAGGTAGCTCACACTGTCCAGTCTTCATAGTCCAACAAGTAACTCACATTCACTCTTGGGGAAGAAGGAAGGTTAAAAAGCAGTAAAGCTCACCTAAGTTTATCACTTCTTCCTGAAAAGTTTGTGAGACCTAACAGAGCCTCGTAGTTCTGGAGGCCATCTCTCTCTGTGTTCAGCAGGCTGACAAGGGGCCTCACCACCTCGTACACCTGGAAGAGAAGGCCTGTATTAGCAACTTTCATTTGCTAAAGGAAGGATCAATGTTTTTGTTTTTATTATTTTTTAAGCTTACCCTCTCCCCTGGGAATGCAATGTCTGGATTGGAGATAGCAGCAATTTTTGCCAGAGCATGAGAAGCCTTTATCTTGCCAACGTCTGTGCCTTCCACAGCCAGAGGTATCAGGGCCTGGAGACACACGGGAAAAAGCATTCAGTATGCTGAGAAGATTTACAGGACTGCCTGAACAGACTAAAACATGTTAAAAATATCCCATAGCCCTCTGTGATGTCTTGCTTTTTTTATTAAATAGGCACCGCCAGAGCTTGTAGCTCACAGTCACTCCAAGAACATCACTTCTTTGGAGTCTTGCAGAGATGGGACTGCAGTGTCAGTATGGCCCCAGGGGGGACAACCTGCGCTCTTCTGTCACTGTCCTTCACCGGAGAGCACCCCAGGCTCCCAGCAGACATTAACAGCACATCAGGAACTGTGAACATGAAAGTAATCACCTTCCCACCACCTTGAGCGACAATGGTCCCGCGGTCCTTGGGGTCTTCACACAAGGCAAGAAACACCCTGCAGGGGCACAGAACACTCAGTGAAACAGCCACGGGGGACAGCAGCAGCCAACAGCCCTCATGGAAGGGGGCTGAGGTTTTGCAGGAGTGCCAGAGCCACCAGGTAAATTCCAGGTGCTTAACCCCATGCACACAGCACTCTAGGAGGAGGCAACAAATGGCAGAGGAAGAAGTTTTCAAGTCTGTAAAATGAACTCTATTCCAGCCAGAACCAATACAGAGAACTCAAAAATGCATTCCAGCAAGACAGCTTGAAGGTCAGAACATGAATTTTTATGACAACTCTGAACAAAAACTTTGGTTTTAAATCTTTGCTTCACACGCTCCCCCACAGGCAGAATCCCCCACCCCAGGTGTCCATCCCCATGGCACAGGGGCTGCCCAGCACTCCTAGCTCCCAGAACTGCAGTGAAGGCACCTGGCAATGAGCTCCTTGCTCTGGTCAGTCAAAATGGCACTGTCAGCCTTCACCATACAGGCCAAGGCAGAGACAACTCCAGCCTTCAGCAACCGCTTCACCCGCTTCACCACAAAATCCTTCTTGTCCTGAGGAGGAAACATTGGGAAAGGATTAGCCCTTAGCAGCTGCCATTCGGCCATCCAGACACCTAACAGCCAAGCCTGGTAGGAGAACAAACAACTTCAGTCTGGAGACAGGAGACCTGAAGTCTGTGACAATGGATACACCAAACAAAGTCTTTCTGAACAGCATCTCCAGCTGGACACAACCCACCTTTGGATGCTCCTCAGGCACATGCTGTTTGGAGAATTTTGCCAGCTGCACCAGCTCTGGGACCAGCTCCTTGGTGTCATAGCT